GAATCTGCTCCCTAGCGGAATGGAGGCCATCGAGGTCCTGAGGACCCGTCCAGCCTCTTCTGGGGCCCAGTGCCTCTTCTGGGCACTGAGGAGGCAGAGGGAGCCGGCCCGGGGCAGCGGGGCCTGTATGGTGAGTCAGCAAAGAAGGGCCAAGTCTCACCCAATCCACAAAGCAAGGAGGGGCTGCACGGAGGGCCCTGGGGAAGCCTTGGGTCCTCGGAGAGGCAGAGCCCACCACAGCCCCTCCTGCCTGCACTGGGGCAAACGCCTCACCCTCGGCACTGCTCAGCCTGCCGGTCATAATCACAAACCGGTGTCATGCCTCCAGGAAACTCATGCTGAGTTTGTGGCGTCTGCATCGTCATTTTCGCTATTTCTCACTTTTCCATTTTCTCTTAAGTGAGCTTTAACTTTGGTGATACCTGACAGCTAACAGGCACGGGAGATAAGTTTCTTTCAGTGACACTGCAGATGAGTAAGAAGAGGTCTCCTACAGGGTCAGGTGTCATGCTTTGCACAGCGATGCCCACCAGCACGTTCAAGGGAAGGTGGATGTTTAAAGCCTGACTCTCACGCTCAGCAGTGAGGCCGGCTCTGTGTCCGGGAGCGTGGCACCAGCTTTTTATTTTTGAGGCTAGAAATTTAAGGTAACAGGGACTTTCCAAGCGCTGGGGAAAGCCGCGCACCTGCAGGCCTTCCTTTTCTGTTCCCTACCTGGTACTTTGCGTTTCGAGTAAAACTTGGTGTCAGGGTTTTGGTTCCATAAACTTTGCTCTGCAGAAATCTACAGTTCAAAGAGACGCGTTGAACACTGTTTTCAAAACTAAAATCCAAGAGAAGTGTGGCCCTTTGCTCAGCGGCAGGAATCAGGCTGAAGTGGGAAGGAGGGATCTGGGAGCCGCGTTTGGGACCCCCCAGCCTGGGGCACCTTGCAGGTGCTGCGGGTCCCTTCCGGGCAGGAACCAGGGGACCTCGTTCATTTCAGCACTTCCTGGGGCCACCGCGCAGGGCTGAGCTGCCCACCCACACAGAGCATGTCTGGGGGGCGCGGGGCGCAGGAGGGGCCGCGGCAAAGGCCCCAGAGGACACGCAGGGCCCGGGCCACCCCTTGCAGGGTCTCTGCCCGTTTCTCCAACTAAGGGGCGCTGGGACTTTGGGATGCGCCGCGGTCTGAGTGGGTCCCGGGGCCCCTTCCGCGGGGAGGGAGCAGGACCCCGCCTCGCAGCCGCTCCCCATCCCCGCAGCGGGTCCCCAGGACCGGCCCTGCTCCTCTCACCGGCGCCCGCGGCCCGCAGCACTCCAGGGTGGGCGTTTCCCGCGTCTGGGGCGGGCAGGCGGGGCGGGCCCTGGAACCCCCACCCCGTACCCAGCCCCCAGCCCTGCTCCCCCACCCCACGCCCTGGAACCCCCCGGCCTGCGCCCCCCGCCCCTCCCTGATCTCAGCCGCACCGGGGCCTGGGACGCTGCAGCAGGAACCCGGCGTGGAGGGAAAGCGAAGTCGTCTCTTTCCCAGCCGGAGCCGGGTAACCATGGAAACCTCGAGAAGGATGGAAACCCCCGGAGTTCAGGGACCCGCAGGCGACGCAGCTGCGACCCCCTCACCCGGCAGCGCAGCGGCCCCCGGGGCTCCGCACGATGGATGCGCGCGTGGGAAGCGACTTTCCCCGAGTTCATTAAATGAGCTCTGAACAAGCCTATCCGGAAGACGCTCCTTGGTAAGTCCCAACACGAACAGCCAGAAGCCTCTAGAAGGAGAAGCCGGCGCGGGCCAGCCCTGCGGGGATGCAGGAGGCGGGGCGGGATCGGGGAGGGGGCGGGTGCCGGGAAGGCCAGGCTGGGCCCAGGGGATCCGGGGCTGCGAACCCGCCGCACAGCGAGGGTCGGTCCATCCCGCGCAGCGGGCCCGGTGCCTCCAGTGGGTTCCGGGATGATGGGCAAAAAAAAAAAAAAAAAAAAAAAAAGGAAAATATGTGAGAGAAGAGCCTTTAAAACCTGAATGTGGAAAACTTTCCTAATGATAAACAGAAATCCAGGAACGATAAGGGAAAAGATGAACACGTGACAACATTAAAAAACAGAACATTTTACATGAGACAAAATCATTAGCAACATAAACAAATGATAAAGCAGGGAAAGAACGTGCAGCGTGGATCGCGGAGTTACCCTCTGTAAAGTGGAAAGAGCTGAGGAGACAGAAGGCGGCGGCAGCCCCAAGGCTGTGCTCAACCTCCTCCTAAAAAGAGAAATCCTGGCCGTCGCGGTGGCTCAGGCCTGTCATCCCAGCACTTTAAGAGGCCGAGGCGGGCAGATCACCAGATCAGGAGATGGAGACCATCTTGGCCAACATGGTGAAACCCCGTCTCTACTAAAAGTATAAAAAATCAGCTGAGTGTGGTGGTGGGCGCCTGTAACCCCAGCTACTCGGGAGGCTGAGGCGGGAGAGTGGCTTGAACCCAGGAGGCGGAGGTTGCAAGCTAAGACTGCGCCACTGCACTCCAGCCTGGGCGACAGAGCAAGACTCCATCTCAACAACAACAACATCAATCAATCAATCAATCAATAAACAAACAATAAATAATAAATGAAAGAGATCCTAAGGGCAGCTGCACCAAGACAGCACTGCGAGGGAGAGGCCAGCCCGGCGATGGGGACATGCAGCGATGGGGATGCCCGGTGATGGGGACGGGGCACCAGGAATCGGGTCGGGATTTGGGCAGGGGAGGCGGGTCCATCTTTGCTCAGGAGTCCCACGCCCAGGGGTCTTTTCCACAGAAGAACCGATGCCATCAGTCATAGCCACACAGAGTGATCCAGACGTCCATGGAAGGCACACACCACAGGCCAGGCTGCTGTGGAAAGGAAGGGTCCCTGTGACAGTGTGGAGGCATCTCCACTTTTCCGTGCACACACGTGTGATTTGCTTGCATCAAATACACACCAGGCCAAGGAAGGCCACGCGAAGGGGAACGGACACACTCACCTACAGGGAGGAGAGCACACAGGGACAGCGGCACAGGCGAGGAAAACGTGGTCCCTGTGAATTCACCTTATGTTTTGACTCCGGACCATAAAATATTTTATGTATCATAGAACAAAATCCTAGTGCTTTGCCTTTTTCAAAATTTTAGACAGGGTCTTACTCTGTCACCCAGGCTGGAGTGCAGTGGCACGATCTCAGCTCACTGCAACCTCCGCCTCCCGGGTTCAAGCAATTCTCCCGCCTCAGCCTCCCAAGTAGCTGGGGTTACAGGTGCTCACCACCACACTTGGCTGATTTTTGTATTTTTAGTAGAGACGAGTTTCATCATGTTGGCCAGGCTGGTCTCAAACTCCCGACCTCAGGTGATCCGCCCACCTTGGCCTCCCACAGCGCTGGCATTCGCGGTGTGAGCCACAGCACCCGGCCCGTTGTGCTCTTTGAATGGTAAGTGCATGTGGGGTGGTTCCGAGTGCCGGATCCCTGCAGCTTGTGTGGACATGGCCCCTTCAGAAAGAACCACAGGAATGCACTCCGACGCTGGAGGCTTCCTGGACTACGCCGGGTGCAGATCAAACGCAAAGCCCGTTGAGTCGGGGGTAAGGGGGCGTGGTCATGGCTTCCCGGGGCTCTGAGGGCCTCTGCGTCCCAGCATGTGGGCTTCTTCCTAGCTCTACCTTTCAACCACCTTCCCAACGTCCTGGCGTGAGAGGGGCCCCATTCTTGGGCTCAGTCACATCTCCCAGCTGCCCAAGCAACAGGTTCCTGCTGGCGGCGGATGCCCAGGACACCCGGGACACGGCACCCTGTGCTCCCTCGGCAAACGCGCTGAGGCCTCGCACGTGGGCCCCTGGGCCACGTCCTTGGGAGATGGCCCCTGGGCCCCCGCCTGCTGGTATCACTGACCCACTCCCTGTCACGGCCACTCCCCATCCCTGCCTTGGGGCCCTCCCTGCTTTCCCGAGCCCGGCTGTGCCCTGAGGTACTGTGGTTTCCCAGCAAGCTTGGTGTTCTGTCGCAGGCTTTTAGACGTGCCGTTTCTTGGCTTCGTGTCCAGCACTAACACAGGCTCAGCTTCTGTCAGCTGTTTGGGCAAAAAGTATGCACGGTAGGCCGGGCGCGGTGGCTCAAGCCTGTAATCCTAGCACTTTGGGAGGCCGAGTCGGGCGGATCATGAGGTCAGGAGATCGAGACCATCCTGGCTAACACGGTGAAACCCCGTCTCTACTAAAAAATACAAAAAAAAAAAAAAAACCTAGCCGGGCGAGGTGGCGGGCGCCTGTAGTCCCAGCTACTCGGGAGGCTGAGGCAGGAGAATGGCGTAAACCCGGGAGGCGGAGCTTGCAGTGAGCTGAGATCAGGCCACTGCACTCCAGCCTGGGTGACACAGCCAGACTCCGTCTCAAAAAAAAAAAAAAAAAGTATGCACGGAATCGCAGAGCTAACAGCTGGCAGTCTGCTGTGGAGTCGACACTGCAGAAAGGCTACATTTAGGTGGAGGCAGGGAACCGGCGGGCATGCCTCGGGGGTCGGGCAGCAGAGGCGGCAGACACCCCACCGTGTCTGTGGACGCTCCAGCAACACGTCCGTGCCTGGGTATGAGGGCGGCTAGGGGTCTCCGCAGGGCTGCTCACATTTAAGGATGCTGTGGTCCCTAAGTATGAGCCACTCATCACTAGGGGCTCAGACTCCTGAGCTGGGGGTGCTACGGTTCCCAGTGGGCTCTCTCAGAACGGGGTCGTGCTCCATGCTCACTCCCAGATGGAAATGAAAAGGCACAACAGAACCACCCAGTGGGGAGAGGGTGCCTGGGCCCGAAGAGCAGACCCACACCCACTGCCACTGTTGAGGGAGGAGCTCCCAGGACTTGCCTCTAATTCAGTCTGGTAAACAAAGGCCAGGCTTGGCCTGAAGGCGTGCGGTTCCTGCTCCGAGTCGGTTAACGAGTGCGCTCGGACTCTGACTGATTCCTTACTCCCACGTACTGTGAATTCAGTTAAAAAATACTCGGGAACAAACATGGTAAACCTTCCCTTAAAGAACTTTATTTCTCTATTTTTATATGGATCATTTATTAAATTAGGAGGCTAAAAAGTAAAAATATATTTTACAATCAAAGAAAAATCTGGACAATGGACCCCAGTAAAATAATCAGAAGCACATGTTCTGAGACCCCGCCCGCTGACACCCTGCAGGGCAGCGCCGTGGAGAGCATCTGCAGAGTAGAAAGGAGCAGGGAGCCTCCGGCGACCTGTCTTCTGTCTCCGGAGCCCTGCCCGAGGCTCCGAGATGGCACAGTCAGGCTGTCCTTAGTGACCGCTGCCACAGAGCTGGCAACTGGCATCTTCAAACCCAGGAGCAGGAGTGGCAGAGGCCTGGCAAGGCCCGGGCCCTCAGACACCAGGGGCCTAAGCCCAACTCCCAAACCCGCTGCAGCCTGCCCTTGTGAGCTGGCAAACAAGCCGGTCCTTCTGAGTGCGACGACCTCATCCACACCTGACAGGCAGGGGCGGGGGCGGGTGGGGGGCGTGAACCAGCTAATTCTGGGACCGCTTGGAGGGGCTCAGCAAGCTGCTTCTACAGTAAGCCTTCAAGCAAAAAATAAAGCATAAAATGCAGGAAAGAAGAATCTTATTAAAGGACTTACAAAATGTGATTTATCTATTAAAAAAATAAAGCGTTCGTGAAAAAAAAAACTAAGAGATGGCAGCAAGCGTGGTCATCGGCAAAGGGTTGCTCTCCCTCTGGCGAGGCGGCCCCCACTGTGAGGCTCCCTCCGGCCCCCACTCGTCATTGGCAAAGGGTTGCTCTCCCTCCAGCGAGGCGGCCCCCACAGTGCGGCTCCCTCCGGCCCCGACACGGGCTGTTCAGGAGCTGGCAGCAGGGGCCACGTCCTCTCCAGGAGACACCCACAGAGCCACACGTGCATGGTGTGGCAGTCTCACTGCACCCCAGCAATGCGAAGGCAGAAACCGGGGCTGGTGGCCACACCTAGGCGCCTGGACGCCGAAGCCCCCAGCACAGCGAGGCCTCCAAGTGTGGCCTGTGGTCCATCCTGGGTAAGAGTTATTAATATCACAGAACATTATCTAGAACGTTCCAGTCCCGCCTGACACCTTCATTCCCAATGGAGAAGACGTAAGACCAGGCCATCTGAGACGGAATCCCAGGGCCCTCTGAGAGGTCGGTGTCTGCTGAGCAAACACCATGTCTTTCTTCTTCACACGATCAAAGGCCTTTAGGACCCACGGCTGAAGAAGGTGCCTGTTGCCGCCATGTCCCTCCCCCACGGCCACCACACACTTCAAGTTTACAAAAATAAATATTTATCAACAGTATATTTGACAAAAACCACCCCCAGTCGGTGGCGGAAAGCAGTATTTTCTAGCTGACACTGAAACTTAACCTATTTTTTCGAGGGAGAAAAAGACTAAAATGTAAGCACTAACTTCCTCCTTCTGCATCTTCCACAGAAGAGCCACTTGTGGGCCTTCTCTTTCTGTCCGTATCAGTGGGTTTCCGTCCGAAGGCTGGGGGCAGATTGAACCACAAGCAGCAGACATGCGGGTGCACACAAGCGTCTCCATGGCATGCGGATTACGTAAAGTGCATCACTTGTGAGAAGTTTCTCAAATTCCTGACTTTCATAACCAGGTGTCACCTAAAATCTGTCCTGCAAACCAAGATGCTACACGCGGTGCCCAGGCAGGCAGAGGTGAGGCGTGCCTCCCGCCTTAGAAAGCTTTTACGCGGCCACGTTCGCCAGGCTTCCCGAGCCCACGCTGAACCTAGGTCCCGGGCACAGCAGCTGCCCAAGCTGTCGTCAGCAGTCGGCTGGCAGTGCCGCAACACCCTCTCAGAATCATGCACGTGCCGCCTCTATCACCTCCCACCCCAGCCTTGCAAGGCCTGTTGAGAAGAGAAGCCCCCTGGGAGGACACCACGGAGCTGGCGTGAGCAGCAGGACAGACGGACGGCAGCCTTCCGCGGGTGAAGGACCCGGCTTCAGATGCCCGCTGGCTGGCAATCAGGCAGAGCCCGGCCAACCGTGCCAGGCTCCCCTCCTCATGCCAGGTGTGGGTTCATCCTGCCTTCAGGCTGGAGTCTGCCACAAGGCTGGCTGGACAGTGGCCAGGTGAGCCAGACCAGAGGCCGGCCCCACGCCATCCACAGGAAGCGGCTCGGCTCACCAGACCCAAGCCCTGGGCAGGGGCCAGGCTCACAGCAAAGCGCGTTAGGGCAAGGACGTGAGTTTTCGGCTGGGAAGTTCTAAAAAAACCCACAAATCAGTGTGAGGGATTGTGCGTGCCTTAATCAACAGCTCTATTCCAATTACATCACATCACAAAATGCCATGAATGGAATCAGAAGGCGCTCCACCACCTCCAACACCCTGGCAGAAGCAGCTGCTCTCTACAGCAAGAACATTTTCCAGAACAGCATGAGAAGGGGAGACGCACGTCCTGGGGACAGGAGAATGCGCCGAGACCTCCCAGCACAAGAGGCGAAGGGAGCCCCCGCCCCGTCCTGGGCCGCCAGGAACCGAAAACCCCCATGCACCCAGAGCAGGCGTGGGCGGGGCAGCCCAGACGTCCACGGGAGGGGCGACAGGGGCCGTGTCACGGGGATCTTGTTGGGACAGCATTCCTTGGGGAGCGCCCGGTCGGCGTGTCCGAAGAGCTGGGGTGACACGGCAGCGAGGGCGGAGGCTCTACGGCTCCTCCCCCATCTGCAGCAGGGAGTTGATGGCGGCGTCCTTGTTCCCTCGCTGGGCTTCCAGCACCGAGCGGATCACCTCCTGGTCCATGTTGGGGAACATGTCCTGGATGGCTTTCAGGTCCTCCTCACTACAGCGGGGCTGGGCGTTCACGGCGGCCGGGGGCAGGGCCACGGGCACCATGCCGGGGCTGCAGACGGCGGGCATCCCTGGAACCAAAGATCAAGTTTGGTAAAAACATCGGAAGGTTCCAGAAGTGCCACACTAGCTCCTGCTGAAAGAAGAAAACAACGCATCCCACCGGCCTTCCTCAGGGAGGGGCCCCCTCGGGTCTCAGCAAACACCAGTCCCGAAAGACACCCTGGAAACACAAACCCTCAAACAGCAACGCCAGGCACAGCCACGGGGAAGGCGGGGCAGGGGTCTCTGAGACGCATCCTTCACTAACTCATGTTCCTTCCACACAAAAATCAAAGTTTGATCTTTCAAATCTCACCCGAGCCTGTTTTCTAACTAGCAGGCTGGGGGGTGGTGGTTTGATCCCTTCAGAACTCGTGAATTTGCACTGCACACGCTTGTCTTCACTGACCAGAGGGCACACAGCATTCTCTTCATCTGGGGAACGGACTACACGAAATGTCACGCCCGCTGATCCAAACACTGCAGAGTCTGAGCCTCCTCCTTTATCAGGCATTCTACAAGATGCTTTTGCAGCTTGGCCAGTGTGTCACTAAACTGTGTGCTGGTGGAGCAATCACCACAGGCACTGAAGACCTCAGCAAAGCTGCAGCCGATGCCCAGAATGACAACCACACACACATACAAACTACACCAAAAAATGCTCACAAAACTCACGCAAGTCAGGCAGCAGGTGTGGTGCATCGGGGACCCTCAGTGTACTGGGGCCAGCGTCCAGGGTTCCTGGCATCACCACCCCACAGCTACGCAGGCCCCTTGCCCCGTGTCTCATGCGGGTGGACACACTGAGATGCAATCTATCAAGCAGGAGCTGCACAGTGGTTCAGCCACTGCAGCACACACACCCCAAAGGCATGGTGTGGCCAGACTTAAAGCTCGCCTCCCAGCCTGGTGGCCACTCCCTAAAACCACAAGCAGCCCTGAGCACAGGCAGCGTGTGCAGGGCTCAGCGACCAGCGAGGCACAGAGCTCCTCCTGCAGCAGCAGCTGGAGCAGGGCAAGGGTTCACCGCGCACCCGTTCGTTCACCTTTAAAAGCACGATCTCCCAGCTAGGCTCACTGGAGCACTAGAGCCCCAATCTGAGGATAGGACTTTTGTTCCTTTCTACACTCGGAGGACCCTAAAGGCAACAGAAGCCATTTCAACTCTGGCCTGAACCAACACCGACAACAAGGACCTGCAGTGGTGGAAACGGAGCAGACGGGGCTGGCCGCTGAGCCTCCAGTGCCAGCTGTAAAGACCAGGGCTCCTCAGAAAGGAAGGCCGCCGCTTCCCAGCTCCTTCCAGGCCAGGCCGACTCTTCCTCCACACCCTCCCCTGCCTCCTCCGCTTCCCGGCTCTCTCTGGGCCAGGCCCACCTTTCCTCCACACCCACGCCTGCCTCTTGTCCTGGGCAGCGGACACCTCACCTCACTGGGAAAGCATCATCCCCACACTGATCAGCCTTTCAGCAATGAGGGAAAATGAACCAAACCACGGCCAGGTGGGGACGTGGCCACCCTCACCACCCTTTCTTCTTCCTCAAACAAGACAAAGGCTCGGCCGCTACCTGTCCTGGAGGGACCCCCGGGACCCCCGTGGCTTTCCGGGCGCCCCAGCCGGCAGGGGGGCAGGAGCTCAGCCATCACCTGTCCCTGCCCACACGGCTCCCCACAGCGTGGCAACAGGAGGAATGGAGCTCGACACTGCCACTCTCTCCAGCCTTTTTCAGTCTGACGGAGAAGGGACAGGAGGGGAGATCGCTGCAAAATCGACAATGGTGACTGCAATGCTGTGATGTCATGGCCTGGGGCGCCTGAGAAACCCGCTCTGCTGACAACGAGGGGATGTGGCACCGAATGGCCCTCAAGTGAGTCCCAACAGCCCGGCCCCAACACACTCGGGACCAGGCACCCCAGGGGAAGAGGTGAGTGCTTCCATGGTGTGGGCCGAGGGGCAGTGGCCTGGCTCACTCCCCTCCTCCCTGCAGGGCAGAGGCCATGTGCCTGGCCTGAGCCTGACCCATCCTGGTTACCAAGTGTGATATGTCCATCAAGCCCTCCGGGAACGGCGAGTGCACCGTGTCGGGGCTGCCTGGGGACTTCAGGAGGACAGACCAGGAGCTCTGGGGCCTGGCGGAGAGCGAATTCCCCGAAACGTGGGCAGAGAGGACGCCACGGGGGCCGGGGGCAGCCCAGACCCCACCTGTAGCAGCCCTGGGAGGAGTGGTGGGCGGCTTCGCTGTGTCCCTGCTGTCCACCGTGCTCAGCGTTCTGCACCCACGCGGACGGACGTGCAGCACAGGACAGGCCCCACCTCACATTCTTCACGCCGCGTCAATCTGCTGTCACACCTCGGCAAAATCAAATACTCTACTGACAAACACAACGGTACCCAGGAAAACCAAAACCTGCCCCTTTTCCATTCAGGAAAAATTGCTCCGAGAACACCCTGACCTCAGACCACGCAGCACGATGAGCCCCGGCCGCTGGTGGGCAGGGGGGCATCGGCCCTGCTCAGGCTGAAGGCATGTGGCTCTGAGCCCCAGACGTCTCGCACGACAGTGGAAAGACATCCAAAGAGCAGGTGGGGACGACCATCCATCTCAGAGACTGTTCCGGAACTCCCAAGGCTTGTTGCTCTTCTCCCTCCACAGAGCGTATCACAAAGAAGAAAACCTGCGTGATTCCTTGTTTCACAGCGACCGAGTTAGCGGGTTAATAAACACAACAGCAGAGAGCTCCACGTGACAGTCTGGGAAACTTAAGCATCCAATTCTCATTTTGAATGGAACCATTTTGTATTTTAAACGACATGTGCTGCTCAGCTGCAAACTCCGTGACTGCTGGAATTCCATCTGCGAGGGGAAGCACGCCTGGGCTGTCGGGTGAGCCCTTGCTGGCCCTCTCTGGAACTCACGGGCGCTGTGAACGCTGGCTGTTCCCATGCATGGTGCCACGCGTGCACGTTCTCTATGGACCTCCCTCTTGTCCGTCCTGCCAGCAGGTGTCCACCTGCGCGTTCAGCTTTGCTTTCATACTTTATGGACAGGCATCCACGTCACAGTCTGGTCAGCTCCACAGAAACCAGTGGGGGTTGTGCCCACAGAGACGCAGGCCAGGATGACAGGAGGGACTGCGCTGCTGAGGACGTAGGACAGTAGCTGTCCCCCCACCCAGAGAAAAGCACTCCAGGCCTGTGTGAAATGGAGGCGCACAAGGGAATAGACAGAAACAGCGTCAACTGGCAGCTGCAGCCCTGGTGAACAGAGAATGAGCCGATGTACGCTCTGGTGCTGCCTGTCCAAGGCCGGGCTGGGGAGGCGCTGGACACCCCACTTTCCACGCCGACTCTCCTCCCACCACCAGACAGAAGGAGGTAGAAAGCAACACGGAGGAGGGAAAGCAAGGAGGGCCCCAGAGGACAGCGCGGCCGGCGCCACCATCCGCCTCTGGGCCTGTCTCATGGGGACCCTCAGGGCAGACCCCTGGCAGTGGCTGCAGCCCGAGTGCCCCCCCTTGCCAGGGACAGCGGAGGAACAGTACAGGCACGGCTGAGGCCCAGTGGCGACTGCACTGGTTTCTCACGTGCGGAGAACGCACAGGAAATTGAGCAGTTGGCTGCCGTCACCGACCTGGCGGTCTCTGTCCACTCTGCAGCTCTGTGGAAGAGAACGCGCTTCATGAGGCCACGCAGTTTCCAGATGCTTCACGCCTAGATGTTTCCTTAAAATTGAGGCTAAAAACCCCGCTATAATCACATGATGCCTGCCACTATTTGAAATCTATAAAATATCCAATTTGGTAATCAAAATAATACTTTGTTTAAAAAAATCAAAACTTAAAACTGTTCTCTTCAGGCCATGATCATGGCATAAAAGCTTTAATGATCAAGCTGTGCTTTGTGTCCCAGCCTCCCTGCCTCACTGTTGTGGTCACACTTTCTTTTTGTGAAGGAGACGGTCTGATCTCAGCGCACCCGGCTTCTGAGTTGCTTTGTGGGGGACTCTGGTTTTTCACTGAGGAAAATGGATGGTCCTCGCGAGGGCTCGGCCAGCGTTCAGCCCTCAGTCTCCATAGAGGTGGCAGCCAGGCTCAGACAACACGGGAGGCTCTCAGGGCCTGAGCCCACCCAACGTGCACAGTGAGCCCCCGAGACCTGCACCCTGCGCGGGCGTCTCTGGGCAGCGCCCAGCAGGCGGCAGCTGAACAAAGGAGCGGCGGAAGGGGCTGGTGAGAAGCCGGGCTCTCCCCTCCTGGCCCGCTCCCGCAGCCCCGCCTCAGCAGAGGGCTTCGCCAGGCTGCTGTGCACGCACACAGGCCCGAAGCCACGCAGCCAGGCAGAGCAGGCGGCACAGCCTTCCGCACTACGTGAGTCATAAACAGTTGAAGCTGTGGGCGACACACGTGCTCTGGCCAAGATGCACTTTGAGATTCCACTTCTGAGAAGAAAACCCTGGTGTGAATCCGCCGTGCTCGCCCAGTCGGCCCGAGACGCCCTGAGCACGCGGCCGCCAGCCTCTCCGAGGTCTCCGCAGACTTCGCCCTCCAGCTGGCAGTGGCTGCTGGGAGGACGGACTGTGATCACAGATACTCAGAAATTAGGGTACTCAGAGGAAAATCAGGGCATCAGCTTCCAGTGAAGAAGGGCGCCTTGTTCACACTCTACAGTGCTGTTAGGACAGTTAAAAAATACTTCAAAGGCTCCTAAAAGCAATGCTCTCCTAATGGGAACCAGGGCTCCTGGGAGAAACAGCTAACGCCAGGGCTCAGGCCGGAAATGCAGAGAGCCAGGGGCTTCCTGCAGTGCCAGGAAGCAGGAAGAGGCCCCGAGAAGGACCGGAGGAGGCCAAAGAACAAAGACCCTGCCTGAGGGGGCTCCCTCTGGCCAAGTCTGGGATAATTTGAGTGAAAAAATAAACAACATTCGTAAGGGATTCTGATCCACGGAATAAAATAGGAAACTGCAAACCCTTTTTCTGAAGGGTCGGATAAACTGAAGAAGTTTATCTGAAGAAGTCGGATAAACTCGGGCTGACAAGGGCGGGATCTCCCCGTGGTCCTGCGGTGCCTCCCACACGGACACATTTTAGCTCCCGGCGGGATCTCCCCGTGGTCCTGGGGTGCCTCCCACACGGACACTTCTTAGCTCCCGGGAAGTGGCCAGGCAGAGCCCTGTGAGGGGTGAGCAAGTCACACCACTAGCCCTGCGCTGGGTGGAATCTGTACTGAGTAAAATGCGAGGGCCCTGCCAGCAGCCCCGGGGAGACTCAGCCCTACCCTGCAAGGCCACATCAGCAGCCCCACCAGGTCCCTGACTAGAGCACACCCCAGGAGCAAGATGGGGACCCCTCCAGGCCAAGGGAGGCAAGGCCACGGAGGGCCAGCGACCCCGGGTTGGATGCTGTGGCCCCCCAGGACACTCAGACGGGGTCCAAGCAGGGGACAGTGTCACCTTCATCTGGACGGCTGTCCTGTGCCAGGAACACCCCTGCTTTATGGGAAACGGACGCCTGGGGGTGGGGTGTGGGGCTGGGGGCTCCGGTGGGGCGGCAGGTGGACGAGTCCTCACGGGCTCTGGCAGATGTCCCTGCATCTCCTTGGTAACTTTCCTATGAAGTGTGCGGCTGTTTCAAAATTTACAATGTCTATCAAAAGAAAATTTCAAAGTCTGTTTATAAAGAAATCTAGCCTTTCCTAAAACAAGCATTTTAGGGAAAACTTGAAAGGCATCTACAAAGAGAATTAAGGATAGGAACCACAAAGAGGTATGTCAATCAATGTTCTCTGTCATCTGAATGCTTTTCCAGCCAGATACACCCCGGCGCTGTATCCAGTCGATGGAACTGCACCCCCCCAAAAAGACAGGCCGAGTCCTAACTCTAGCCTGCACAGGGGGTCTTAAGACCGAGTCTCTGCAGATGTGAGCAGGTGAGGATGATGGCATGCTGGGGCAGGTGGGCCCTCAATCCACAGACTGGGGTCCTCATGGGAGGAGGAGGAGGCAGCCACAGAGCGCCCAGCCCAGAAGCTAGAGGAGACGGGGAGGATCCTCCCCACAGCCTTGGCGAGTGAGCGGCCCTGCCTGCCAGGGGTTGGACTTCCAGCCTCAGGAAGCTGGAGGGCCTGGGTCTCTGTTCTTTCAGGTTGCCCATCTGTCTCCAACTCAGGACAACCAAACAGAACTTCACTAGCGCCACGAACTGCACGCCACAGAAGGCACTTCCACCCCACAACGGCGGCTCTGGGCTGTCCCAATTACAAACCAGAACCCCCAGGAGCCACTCTAGGGGCACCCAGGGCACAACAGGGCCCCCAGGGCAGCAGAGCTCCCCTGGCCAGGCTCCAGGCTCAGGAACACCTGCGGGGCTCCCGTGCTCGCCCGTTTCTCTGCCACAGTGCTGGCTCTTCCGCTTACCCAGATGCCCGCCCTCCTCTAACTCTGAATGCTTAACGGCTGCTTCTGCGTTTCTGGCTCACCTCCGGTCACTTCCTATGAAGCATCCTCTCCTCAGTGATGGGGCGCAGGTACTGCCTCTGCTGCGCTGGTGGTTTTCTTTCTTTTCTTTTCTTTTCTTTTTTTTTTTTTTGAGATGGAGTTTCGCTCGTTGCCCAGCCTGGAGTGCAGTGGCGCAATCTTGGCTCACTGCAACCTCCACCTCCCGGGTTCACGCCATTCTCCTGCCTCAGCCTCCCAAGTAGCTGGGACTACAGGCGCCCACCACCACACCCAGCTAGTTTGTTTGTATTTTTAGTGGAGATGGGGTTTCACCGTGTTGGTCAGGATGGTCTCGATCTCCCAACCTCATGATCCTCCTGCCTCGGCCTCCCAAAGTGCTGGGATTACAGGCGTGAGCCACCGCGCCCGGCCCCAGGCTGGTGGTTTTCTAAGACACTGGACACCACAGAGGCCCTGCTCAGACACGGGCTCTGCTCTTTCCTCTGGAGAAAGGCAGCCCTGGCACCTGCGCAGGCGGCTTTACGTGGAAACAGAGTCTGCGATGTGAGCAAGTGAGGGCAAGGCCATGCTGTTCTCATAAGCAGTTTCGTCAGAGAATGTCCTGAACACCAGTGGACAGACCAGAGTCTCCCAGCGCCGTCCCCTCCTTCCCACCATCAGGCTGGGTTTCAGGCCACATCAGGTGGGTCTAGGGCAAGGTCCTGACTCCCAAGGTGGCCTTTCTGCATCTGTGCGGGATGCTGGCAGGACTGGGGTGCTGACCAGGCCTCTCCACTCCAGCTGGGCTGGACACCAGCACCGGCCTGACAGCACTCTCGCCTGCCAGCAGCTCTGTCCCACCCCAACCCCAAAGCAGCCCGAGCACAAGCAGCCGGGGCCTCACGCAGGCCCCGAGACCCTCCCCCAACACCACCACGCATCCCCAGCGCCCTGCCCACAACTTGGCCACTTCCACGGCCTGGTCCCCCAGTGCAGAGGGACCCGCGCTCTGCCAGACACCAGTTCCCCGGCATGAGAGGCCACCTTGGGAGGAGAACCAGGGAGGCCACAGGCTCCCCCTGAGCACCTCCTCTCAGGGGCTGCTGTCCCCCCGCCTGCTGAGGACGCTGGGCCCGTCCATGGTGGGGGCCGGCCTTGCACCAGCTGCTACGACAGCGACAGCTGGACCAAAAATGCAACAGCGTGAAAAGCGACATTCCCGCTTGGTGTTGCTGCAGCCACCGGCTGCTCACTCTTAACAGTGACACACGACAACGGTCGCGACAGCGCAGTGCAGAGCACTCGTCGCCCGACAGGGGTGTGAGGTTCTCCTGCAGAGAGCTGGGCACGACGAGGTTTCAGTCACATTTCCACACCTCTGAAAATTTCAACTCATCTCATTTCTGCCAACAATTAGAAAAAAAACCAATTCTATTCTCTAGATATGCAAACAAAATTCAAACGTAATCCTTGGCTCCCTAGCCTAGAACGATCTGCGTGCAGTCGGCACGTCTGCAGGATTCTAGAACGGATGACGTCCCCCCACCGGCGCTCTAAGCCCTGTTCCCTCCTCCTGCGCCCGCCCTAGGCCCTGCGGTTTCTACCAGGGGAGAGGCACCCAGGGAGGAGGGGGCACACGCACCTGTGATGGGCACGTAGCCGACGCCCTGCTGGTACACCGTCGGCATCAGGACCACAGGCTGGGGTGGCATCACCATGGCAGCTGGCAGCAGCTGGAACACAGCGGAGATGGTCCCGGGGTCAGGAAGGAACATCTACCCATCAGAACCTCAGGAATCGCCCTCCCCATGCCAGCCCCGAACCCAGCTGTGAGCCCTGAGTGCACAGGGGACGCCGGGGCCCACTCCCACCCCCGCACCACCTCCTCACATCCAGGAGGTGACACGGCTCAGGCTTACAGATCCCCCGCTAACTGGGATGTGACGGAGAGACGATGGGGTCAGGAGGGACATCCCAGTGTAGGTGTCAAGTGGGCCTTGGGGGAACCACACTGCACAGCTGTGGTGTCTGAGTTTAAAACTGTCAACTTGAGATAAGTGACTGCACTGCTGTCGTCTCTGAGTTGAAAACTGTCACCTGCAGGTAAAGTCACTGGGGCGTCATGACGGTTCTGCGTATGAGAGCGTCGGTTAAAGCTGCGTCCCGAGACATTTACACGTGGTCACTCACGGCTGGGACTTGCTTTAAAATATCCCAGCGTTAACAAAAAGGGAGTGGGAGGAGCCAAGATCGCCCAGAAGAGCGGCTCCCTGCTGCGCCCTCTCCGCTGTCATGTGGGCCTTGCATTTCCCACAGCACCATTTTTCGGTAACAACCTAAAAATTCCCTGAATGATGATACAGAGAAGATAGCAGGAGTTCTGTTCCAGGAGCCTCTAACTGGCCCTCCTGACGCCCCCAGGAGCTGCAGGTGTCCTGAGGATATAGACAGCTGGGAGCCAGGGCAGTTGACGTGCTGGCCCCACGGCCAGGCCTCGACTTCCTGACCCCGAGCGCGGCAGCCCCCAGGCTTCCCCCACATCTCCAGAGATGCCCTTCCACACCCTGGCCAGTGCCTGCCCTGTGGGGAGGAGCCTGGTGTCCCGCAGGGCCCAGGGCTGTATCTCAGACCCTGGAGGGCTGCTCAGCTGGACCCTAAGGGCAGAGCTTGAAAGGGCTGTGAGGGACCTCCGAGGACACAGGGGCCTGCAGTGGAGACCACCACAAAGGGTGGGCCCATCTTAGGAACACAAACAACCCTGATGCTGTTTCCCCAGACAGAATCGATGGGCAGGAGCAGTGGGCGGGGCAGCTCCTCTCTGCCACCAAACCACCCAGGGCCCCTGCCCTCTGTCCTCAGAACGCTGAGCCCTGCTGTTTGACGGACTCAGTGCCTCCAGGAAAGAGACCAGGGTGTCTGCGGGGTGGCACAGCCCCGACGTGTCCCAACATACCCTGACCCGCCCCACCCCAAGGCCCCTGACGTGTCCCACCCCTCCCCGATGCCCCTGATACCAGGCCGGCAGCTCACCGCGTAGGACATGACGAGGTTGATCATGCCCTCCTTGTCATCCCCCTGCCTCCCGCTCAGGCTGTACCACTTGTCCTCCACCTTGCCTTGCCTCAGGGACTCGGGGATGGTGATGTGGGTCCACGCGATGCGGTCATCCATGGAGAAGGCTCTCTGGGGGAGAAGAGGGAGATGCCCCAGGCATCAGGGAAGGGGCCGCCCTCTCCCTGCGGTCGCACCATCATGGGCCCGTCTCGAGTTCCCATCTCATCGGTGGAACAGGGCTCCCACCTGCACCCACACCCTATCAATGAGACCCCTCAGGCAGCATGGGCTTTACGGTCGTTTATCAACGATCCTTCCCTCTCTCCACCAGGATGGGCCAGGGCCAGGGCTAGGTCTGGGGCAGGGGAAAGTGAAGGTCCTGGGCTGCTGTCCTCCTCCAGTTCCAATTCAGGGACACTGGTTGCTCCTCCCCAGCCCTCAGGGCCCCATCCTTGCTCCACCGGCTGCCACCTCCCAAGCCCCAGAGCAGCCGGGGCACAGGCTGGAGAGGACGTGGGGTCTGCCTCCCACAGCTGCCTCTGTACTTCCCATGTGCTCTCCACTCTTCTGAGGGCCAGGGAGGGGAAAGCAGGTCAGGATGGGGAGAGAAAAGCCAGGAGGAAAAGGCAGGGCCCAGGCAGGGAGGACTGGCCATTTGCTGGCCTGGCTGCCCCACACTGCTCCCTAGCCCCCACCGGTGCTCTAGCCTCCCAATGGCACAGGTTCGAGGTGCCGGGACCACGCAGAGCAGCAGCCTCGCCGCATCCCCCTCTGACCTTCTGACTCTGCCTCAGAAGTGCTGCAGGTGCAGCCATGGACAGGACTCAGGACCCTCAAGGGTCACAGCCACTCGCACCATCAAGAACAGCTTTCCCACCCGGCAGGCGGCCGGACTCGCTGGAAATCCCACCTGCTGGTGAGCGGCCAGACCCGGTGCACCCGCCCAGTGGAGGGGACACGTGCACGCTCTGTTCCTGGGTCATGCTTGCCACTGGGGATGTTTCCAAACGTAAGGGTGTTCAAGGAACTAGAAACAATCTCTCTTTTTCACATTCCTTGGGGAGAGTAGGACCCTGTTATGCACCCAATGAAACACCAGGTGGGGACCCACACCTCGAAGCCAGCCAGGAACGTGGTTGTGTCGGCAGGTGTGTTCCCACGGCAGCCACGCTCAGCCACGTGCAGCCTCCCATAATAGCTGGCATGTCCCTCTCACCTCATCGAAGATTTCGAGATAGAACGAGTCCACGCCTGGGGGCACCGTGCAGTGGATGACCTTATTCCAGCGGGGATTCTTGGCGCCATTGTGTGCCGTGGGCGTCTCATACACCGCATAGCCCAGGCGCAGTCGGCAGTAGGGGTCCATGCGGGTCATGCCGTAATTCTTGGCCAACTTTGCCTGGAATGAAGCCAATGTCAGGAAAAGGAGGTGCCAACCATCGGGAGAGGGCGGGTTCCCTAGGCCATCTGCCTCCCTGAACCCTTCCATGAGGCCTTTTGCTAACATATAGACTACAGATACTCAGGGTCGCCAGAATACGACTGTGACCTGCTTCCCAGGAGGCCAGGAGCAAGAACACTGAGCCACAGAGGAATCGTGCAGTTCTGAGACAAAGTACGTGGCTCATCCTTGACAGCAGAAACCTACAACACTCACAGACACAGCTGAGGCCGCCACTCAGCCGCCACGAAGGGTGCGCTCTCTAACCACCTCAGAAGCAGCTGAGGAGGGAAAGAGGAGGAGGTCCCAGCACAGAGCTGAGAGCCAGAGCACGACAGGGAGCATGAACCTGCCCCAGAGCATGATGACCCGGGAGACAGGGAGCGTGAACCCGCCCTGGAGCACGATGACCCGGGAGACAGGGAGCATGAACCCGCCCCGGAGCGCGACGACCCGACGACCCGGGAGACAGGGAGCGTGAACCCGCCCCGGAGCGCAGTGACCGGGAGAGGTGCGTCCCTGCTCCAGGCGGGAGCGCGGACACCTGCTGTGCATGATTCAGACGCCACGTGGCTGCTTTCCTCCCCGTCATGAAGGCAGCAGCCCTGCCTGTGCTATCAGAGCAGGTGGCATTTTGGGGACAGGAACTTGTCTTTCTTGTGTCTCCCAATCACAAGGAGCCACATCACATGTAGACCATGAGATTCGACTTCAGGCCAGGCACTCAGCTGGGCTGGGACATTTGAGGTCCGCGGGGTGGGAGTGAACGTGTGTTACAGGGAATGAATATTCAGAATAAGACAAAAGACTGTGGCACGTAAGACAGAAGACTGTGGCACGTAAGATGATTGCTCAGCAAACAAACTCAACGTGGATGGCAGGTTCAAATATAAAACCTAAAACTGTAAAACTTTTACAAGAAAAAATCAGGAGAAAAGCTGTCGTGAGCTGGGTTGGGTTCAGCCCTGCGGCTCCGGCTGCCTCCCTGGAACGCGGACGGCCTACCCGCACTGCCGCCACCCGCTCTCCTGCGGCCAACCTGGCTCACCCCCAGGAGCTAGTGACAGAGACCCCAGGAGCCATCCCGGCCCTCCCAGCCACACAGAGCCCACCAGTTCCTCCTTCCCAGTATAACAGAGTCCAGACATTGCCCCCGATCCCTCTGAGGGCACGGCCTCCCTGTCCTCTCTGCCCTCTCTCTGAAGGCACGACCACCCCATCTGCACCGCCCCCCGCCCCCCCTGAGGGCACAGCCACCCCATTCTCACCGTCCCCCGCCCCCCCGAGGGCACAGCCACCCAGTTCTCGGTGACCCCCTCTGAAGGCACCACCACCCTGTCCTCACCGCCCCCTGAGGGCACCGCCACCCCGTCCTCGGTGAATCCTCTCTGAGGGCACCGCCACCCCGTCCTCGGTGAATCCTCTCTGAGGATACCGCTGCCCTGTCCTCATCGCCTCCCTCTGAGGGCACAGCTGTCCCATCGTCGCCACCCCCCGTCGCACAGCTGAACTCTCCCCTCCTGTGCCCACATCTCTGGACTGCCGGGTCCTCTGTTTTCTATTCTCATCCACATACAAGTTCCCTCCTTTCACTTCTAACCAAAACTGTGGCCAGCCGTTTTATGTCAAAACCGCCCCATTCTTGGGTCCTTAATTTTAGCGTGTTTCTTGGGTGGCCGGAGCGTGCTCTGGAATACTACGGAGGAACAGTTTTCTGGAAGCTCCTGGGTGACTAGCAGCTTCCAATTCCCTTCTGCTGCACACCCACAGATCTGCCAGATCAGCTCTTACACTTGAAACTCCGCCCCTCTAAACTCCTTAGAAATTGCCCTATTTTCTGGAAGGTATGTAGCAGGAAAGTCTGAGACCAGCGTGATGTTCCCAAGCTTTCAGGTAACTGTGCTGTTTCTGCCTAGTTGCTAAGACTTTTTATTATTATTAACTTTAAAGGCTTTGAGCAAAGCCAGCATTCCGGGCGGCACGTGGGACTCCCGCTGCCAGCGTCCCTGTGCCCGTCACCGACACCTGCTCACACTGGGTCCTGCCCGCTTCTGCCACACTCAGCCTTGTCCTGTCATTCCCGTCTCCTCCCACCGCCCTCTGCACTGTGGCTAGAAAACTCTAGGAGGAGCGCCCTGTGACATCAACTGCTCTACTGAAGTGACCTCCTTGATGTTTACGGAAGCATCTGCCCATTCACTATGACCCCACACAACCACACGCTGTTGTGATGCGGCAGACGCTGCGGGCACTGCGGGCACTACGGACACTGCGGGGACACGCAGGCACCGCTGCCTCCCCGACAACAGGCAAGAGACGCGCAGCAGACACACGGCATGGCAGACGGCACTACCACTGCAGGCACGACCAGCTCAGAGGACCAATGTGTGGGCTGCAGAATCTGGAGGAAGAGCTGCAGGAAGCGAACGGCCAGGGAACAGGAAGGTCAGGACTGACCGGGGGAGGCAAAACATGGGCTCCGGCTTGAGAAGCCTCGGCAGGACAATGCCCACGAGAAAGGCCTGTGCAGGGAGTGACCTGCTCTGGCCACAAGCCAGTGGCTGAGCGGAGGCAGTGGGTGGTGCAGGGCGCTCCCCGCCTGGACCGGCGGAAGGTGGCGCCTGTGCTGAGGGTCAGGCCTGAAGGGCAAGAGGCGGAGATGAACCGTGGAGCACCAGGAGCACCAGAGCTTTGGGCCTCAGCTTCCAGAGTGTGGGGCAGCCACCTGCAGACACGGGGGAGAAGCTGGGAGGGTGGCTTGAGAGGTCCACCTTGGGCACATGGATCCGGCGTGCCCACGGGACATCCGGGGAGGCCATGTGGCCATGGTCCGTACCTGGGAATCTGGGGTGGAGCTGAGTGTCTGGCTCAGGCCTGGACCAGCACACAGGTGTTTAGACCCACAGGGACACAGGAGTCACTGGGGTGTGTGGGCAGAGACGGGAGGAGGGCTGAGGACCAGACCCCTTGGCATCCCATTGGGGCCCCAGGAGACGATGAGGGGAAGCAGCCAGGGGAGGCAAGCACGGAACCACATGTGCAGCTGCCCAGAAGCCAAGAGAAGCAGGAAGCGGGTGCTGAGCTACGTGGCCCAGTGAGGAGGCAGGAATGTTCCCCCCACTGGAGCTGTGGCACGGAAGGCTGGGTGAACTCGCGTGGAGGAAATAGACAGGCTGCCTGCAGTGGGCTCCAGGATGTGGGAGAACACCAAGGGGGGCCGGAGGCGTGGGCAATGCCAGGGCCACCTCCAAGGCCCAGCCAGGTCTGGAGTTTGAACTGTGAGGCGGAGTGCCCTGCGGTCACCAGGCCCTGCCAGGAGGTAGCGGCTGAGAATGGGTGATGGCACTAGGTGGCCTGGTGGCAGCTGGGGCAGGAAAGCATGGGCTTACAGGAGTTCACTGGGTGGGCAGAGAGATGGGCCACACCAGCAGAGAAACAGCTGCACAGGCAAGGGTTTGAGACACGCTGCGAGGAAGGGGTGACGGCACAGCTGTGCCCACCACACCAAGTGAAGCCCCTGAAACCAAGACTTATTTGTGAGGTCCGCAGCGACTCTTCTGCCTGCTGTATTTGTGCATTTCTATAAAAGCATGCGTGGCTCACAATGCGTTTCCTTTTCCTGTGATCTTACGGAATGTTTTGGTGTGATCAAAATCGGTGTTCAATCTGCCGATTTTGGTTTTCACTTGAAAGTCCACTGAGTCACCACGTCCTGGCGGCTGGTGTCCAGCCCTGAGGCTGACCGAGGGCTGCTCTGTGGGGAGGGGAGGGTGCGGGCACCGGCACTGGGGCCAACGGGAAGCCACTCGCGCAGCACACGCCGAGTGGTGGGGGGCCAGCTGCGCCTCCTCCAGCTGCCGGCAGGGGCCCAGGAGGCGTCCTGGGGCATCCTCAAGCCTGGTGGTGGACCCTACATGGAGCGGACGCCCACCTACCCCCACTACTCATCATTTGAGTTATGTTTGGCAGAACCCGGGGTCAATGCCAATATTTTTCACACAGATCGTTTTCAACATCACACATTTCAGGAAAAGCGGGAATCAGAAGTTCCGTTTGCCCGCTTAGGAAATGCAGTGTGAACGCCGAAATCCTCAATCCCACCCCACCTGAGCGCACCAGCCCCCAGCAGGCAGGAGGGTGCCCCAAGGCCCACCTGAACCACAGTGATGTTCAGTCGGCCCACGGTGCCCACGGCGCCTCCGTACTGCAGCTGCTGGGCCGCCTGTGCGTCCAGCTGGACCTGCCTCTGCTGTTGTGTGGGCGTGATGCGGAGGAAGTCCTGCGGGAGCTCGCCGATGTACACCTGCGGGGCCGGGGACCAGAGAGGCAGTGAGTCAGGGTGGGGACACAAAGCAGCCCGATAGCAGCTGCCCCAGCATTCCCGCGACCCGGCCCCACTCCCACCCATTTCCTAATCAAGTCCTGGACTGTGCTCAGCCTCCGTTTCCTCATCTCTAAACCCAGGGGTCCCGGGCGTCCAGCCTGGGGCCTGGCCCCCAGCGGCACAGGTGCAGCCCTTACTCAGGAGATCCCCAAATGCAGATTTCTGCCACTAAAAACGGGTTCCCGTCCTCAAAGCCTGGTCAGGTGGGTTTTCAGGTCATTTTAAAGGGTCTCCCTTGCACCATGTGTGCCCATGGCTTCCTTCTCCTTGTCCACAGCTAAAGGCAGGGCCACTGAACTGCAGGTCACTTGGTCAAACAAATGAATGAGACAAAATCTGAACCTCAGGTCTAAAGTGATTTGGAAAACCCTCTGCTGATATACTTCAAATGTTTCTACGTGAAACAGCTGAAATTCAAAAGTACCCCAGAAGAACACAGGAAGTAAATTAATTCCAACCAACCACGAAAGACCTCCCCACTCTGCATCCCGTCTCTCCTCGACCCTCCGTCCCCCGCGGCTGCCCCTGAGGGGAGGAGAGAGGATGGGCCCGTGTCATGGACTCCCAATGACACGGTGCCAGGCAGGGCTCCAGGAGGTTCTGAGTTCAGCCCTGCACCTGCTGTGCTCTGGCCGCCTGGCACTTCAAAGGACCCCACGAGGGTCTAGCTCCTCACCTGTGTCCCCATCTAAGGCCTGGAGAGCACAAGCCAGTCAGCACTCCACAACCAACGGGAGCAAACAGAAGGGACCCGGACAATCCAGCACTGCTTCGCGCGGTTACGGACTCAGGCCCCCGGGTCTGGGGAGCTCTCTGCAGGCTGCGCCCCAACCCGAGCAGCCAGCGCGGTGTGTGCTCAACCGCTCTTCTCTAAAAATCAACACACACTTCGTGCCTTTCCCCACACTTTACCCCGTTTTTGACCGGGACACATCACGAGTGACCTTTGCCCCATGAGAGAAGCCATCTTGTGAGAACAGCAGAGCGCCCCGGCTTCACCTCCGGAGGGTGTGGCGGGACCCCCTGACGGACAAGCAAGGAGGGTGCCGAGGTGCCTGAGGGGAGCGGGCCCATGCCAGGAGTCCCAGGCCAGCCTCCTCTGGGCAGCCTCTCATGAGGCGCTGTACGGCTTACCAGCAAGCTCTGGCTCAGGAGGGCGCTGAGAGGCCCCGTGGCACGAGATGCTAAGCACCTGCTCCTGTTGGCACACAGGAGACACTGGGGTACAAAAGGCCAGGGCCCCTCACCTGCCTCCCAAAGGAATTCACAGCCCAGAGCTCTCTCCCCGGGGGACACCTGGCCACGCAGGACGCGCCTCCCTGCCAACTTCACAGGGCCCTGGCACAGCCCATGTCCGCAGACTCTATCACTAGCTCTGTCTGCTCACCAGGAATGGGTTATCTTGCGGAAACAGACTCGTGCTAACCAAGTTCTTGGGATTAATATACACCGGCCAAATTCCTGTTTATTTGTGACAACTGCTTCCTCCGTGCCACACACACAGCTCCGGAGACACGGCAGGAAAAGCACTGCATCTCCTGGGCACACGTGGGAGACAGGCGGCTCATGTCCTCCTGGGCACACATGGGGGACAGACAGGCGGCGCGTGTCCTCCTGGGCACACATGGGGGACAGACAGGCGGCGCGTGTCCTCCTGGGCACATATGGGGGACAGACAGGCAGCTCATGTCCTCCCGGGCACACATGGGGGACAGACAGGCGGCTCATGTCCTCCTGGGCACATATGGGAGACAGACAGGCGGCTCGTGTCCTCCTGGGCACACATGGGGGAGACAGGTGGCTCATATCCTCCTGGGCACAGGTGCGGGACAGACAGGCGGCTCATGCCCTCCTGGGCACATATGGGGGACAGACAGGCGGCTCGTGTCCTCCTGCGCACAGGTGCGGGACAGACAGGTGGCTCATGCCCTCCTGGGCACATATGGGGGACAGACAGGCGGCTCGTGTCCTCCTGGGCACAGGTGCAGGACAGACAGGCGGCGCGTGTCCCGGAAACAGAAGCATGGAGAAGCTGGTCAGGGAGAGAGTGTGGGTGGTGACAGGGGTGTGTGGAAGTGGGGTTCACAGAGGCCTCTGAGGGAGCACTGTGGATCCCTGGCTGTTCTGGCTCCGGGCTGTCCTGGTACTTGGAGGCGCCCGGCGCTCCGCTCCATCTCCTCACTCTGCGTGTCCATTCGAGACAACGGGACTCGCTCCCAGCTCATTGCTGGGAGAAAATAAAACTATACCCGAAGGCCAGATGATCAAGTGTCATCTTCAACAAAGATTTAACCATAAAACGACAAAGAGGAAACGAGGGCTGTTAACGTAAGCCGTGTGGACAGAACACGGAAAGGGGAGAAGCACCCCCCAAGGATGGAGCTTGTCAGCCCACGCAGCCCGGGGAACGTGGCCAGCACCACGTGGCAAGGGTGCATCCGGCTCCCCAAGATGACGCACACCTCACCTCTGGGCTTTCTTCCCCAAAACCCACACCCCGATTAAGAGACATCTGACAATATTCCTGACCCTTCAGTCCTCCTCAAACTGTCAAGGTCCCAAAAACACAAGGGAAGCCTGAGAGACGGCCCCAGATTGGAGACGGAGACACAAAGGCTAAATGCAAAGTGGGGTCCTGGGACAGCAGGGGACAGTCATCGAAAAACCAGGACATCCAAACAAAACCTGGAGCCAGCAGTCATGCCCCAGGTCGGCACCACAGCTGGGAGAGCTGTTCCCGGGGAGGGGAGCGTCGGCCGGGGATCGTGGGTGAGACACACAGGACCTCTTTGTGCCAGCTTTTCAATTCCATCTAAAACTAAACACTACAAAATTCAAGGTTTTTCAGAAAAATATTCCACTTAATCTAAAGAGAGCAAGAACGAGAGAGGAGTGGGAGGAGAGGGCTTCAATCCTCCCCGTACAAACACTGGTTACGCAACCTGCTGCCCCGCCTACGAGGGAGAGGCGGCTTGCCGGCTGCTGCAATGCCCTCGTTTCTCAACTGAGAGCGAAGCCCTTCAAACGGGGAGGGGGGAGTTCTACCAGTTCATGCTCCATGAGTCACAGGGGAGTCCAGGTGCTGAAGTAAACCCTATCGTTTCAGTGGTGACACTCAGTAAACATCTATTTTGAATTTATTTTTTAAATTCAGTGCTAATCCTAAAATTTACTTTTGTCATATTACGATGGAGGAGATGTTTCAATGGTCATGTACAAATATATGCTGTACCCTGGTTCAAAGGCTTGGAAATATGAAAACAAAAATGATTACTCCTGATACATAATGGATATTTTTCTAGAGTTTTACTTCCATGTACAAGATGTACATACTGGCCGGGCGCGGTGGCTCAAGCCTGTAATCCCAGCACTTTGGGAGGCCGAGACGGGCAGATCACGAGGTCAGGAGATCGAGACCAGCCTGGCTAACATGGTGAAACCCCGTCTCTACTAAAAAAATACAAAAAACTAGCCAGGCGAGGTGGCGGGCACCTGTAGTCCCAGCTACTCAGGAGGCTAAGGCAGGAGAATGGCGTAGATCCGGGAGGCTGAGCTTGCAGTGAGCTGAGATCCGGCCACTGCACTCCAGCCTGGGCGACAGAGTGAGACTCTGTCTCAAAAAAAAAAAAAAAAAAAAAAAGATGTACATACTGAGTTCAACACTAACAAGTAAGTTTAAACGCCTGTGTGAAGGCTGACAATTCCACTTTGGGAACCAGTCCCATGTCAGCGCTCGCTTGGGCACGTGACCACGGGATGCCTGCGGCTGCATCCCCTGTGCGGTCAAAACCCCCGTCCACCAGCCAGGCACATCCACCCAGCGCAGGGACACACGGCCTCAACCAGAGCCGGAAGTCCTCGCCTGGAACACAAGGAGACCGGGGGATGGAGGCGGAGGCACAGCACGACATGCTGGGGGAGCCATAAGGAGGCCTCTGTCGAGACCAGCTCTGGAGAAGCGTTCGAGAATGGAACTCGAGGGACACGGGCAGGGAAGGTTCTTTATTTATACTTTCATATCCTCCTAGTTATTTTTAGAAACTTTTTTAAAACCACATTCGTGAATTACTTTTAAAATAAAAAGGACAGTGTAGGGCTCTCATCCCACAGAGCTCTCTGTGTTTTATCTTCTCTGAAAATAAAAGCTACTTTTATAAATATTAGTCCGTTTTAAATACAGTTTAAAAATGTAACGTCACATTTCTTGGACTTGCTGATTCTCCTCCCCCTGTGGTGCTCTCAGAGGATCACGACGCACGCCTGTGACTGACGACCATTCCTCCCTTGCTGACGCCAGAGCTCAAACCATTGCAGCACCTTTCCACATCAAAGAAAAGAGATCGCCAAAATTCACTTCTAATTTAAAACAATTTCCCTTCAAGTCTAAGTTTTACTTTTGGCACAGAAATAAAGTCTTAATTCTTCTTTTTTTGTCATGTAACGTGTGTAGTCAACCCAAAGCTAATTTTTTCTTTTTAAGCACACAAACAAGCACCCACTGTGAATATTCCTGCGACATGTTTCCAACTGAGAGAGCCGCTGCTTCCTGAGGCCCCACTTTCTGCCTGACAGAGCCCAGGAAGAGCCCTGCTCAGCCCAGGATGTGCAGTCCTGAACACACGCAGTCCTGGCCTCAGTCCTGCCAGGAGGCATCAACCTGAGGAGCCGCACCACGGACGCCCCGGGAGCATGGCTGGCCACGTGCGGGCGGCAGGAGGCCAGGGTCTCCTGGCCACTTCCACGACTGGCCCTCTGTGGAGCCTTTTTACACCTTCTCACCATCCCCACCCCATGATGCTGTAAGGCTGTGGAGCTGCTGTTTGTGTTTGTGTGCCATGCGTGCACCTGCACTTGGCACGTAAACACTGCAAGCAAGGCTCTAACGAGTCTCAGCGCTAATGCCAGGTTAGCATAACTAA